CTGTAACTGGTGCATTCATCAATGTCTAACTACTGTAAACCTGCATAGCTCTATTAAACAACATCAGTCTGGAAGCACAGGCAAGTTCCATGAATTTCAACGAGTGCTTTTCCATTAATGACAAAGATTGAGTGCTTCAACTGCTTCTCAGGTTGTCAACTTTCCCACACACACAAAAAAAAATCATATCTTCAAGAAACAAGCAATAGAAAAAGAAACTGAAGAAGGTGGTAAAGTCGATGTTTTTAAAATTTTAAAAGATTAGATTTGATTTTCCGCCTTTTGTAAATGGTTCAGGATGATGAACTCAGGACTGCTATAATACAAGGAGATAAAACTTGATGCCTTGTACTCCAGTAAAAGGATATTCAAATACAAATTTTTTGAATACAGAATACACCAGAAAATATTTTTCAGAAAACACTGGTTTATTGCAACCAGTGTTATTTTTCATGTCATGTTCATTTCATGGTACGGGCATTATATTTAATTGCTCATTCTGTGTATTTTTTGAACTCTTACAGATTGTGGACACCCATAATTCCTATAGGAGGGAGTTCTACAACTTAACTACACAATTTGTGTTTCAGTGTATGTCATCTGATAACTTCCTTTGAAGCATCGTACGTCTTATACAGGAAGAAATAACAAACAATCCTTCTATGTTCACCTTTTCCTCTATGCCTGGATTTGATGGGTCTCTGTCATACACTTGCCTCCAGCAATCACCTTCTAAGACTAGAAGTTTAGGTTTAGTCTTCCTTAATAGGGAAGACATTTTATATCTTTCATCTCCTGCCTAGACCTTACTTTGTGAGATAGGATGACTAGAATTCAGACAGCATTGTGTACATAAGTGCAGATAACAGAGACTTTGAATATATGCAGCACCTTTCACAGCAGTTTAGGGCTCTGCTTCAGCATCTTCTTGACCTTCTGGGGAACTCATCTGAGATTGCCAGGGGACTCCTGTGAATCCTTTAACAAACTTGAGCAGCCTGCTGCTATCAGACTAGGATACCCAGGAATCTGGGACTGCTAGCAAGCTGTATCATCTCCTAACAGGCTCTGTCAGCTAAGCTTGTTACTCTGAGCTTGTACTCTCATCTGGGTCCTGATCAGGCAAGCTCCATCACCCTCTCAGCCAAAGCTAGTGAGAGAAACAGAATTCAGACAGAACCATGTATATTAGTGTAGGTAGTAGAAACAGTGAGCAGATGGACCCAGTTTGCACAGGCTAGATATACAGAAATGTGTGGGCCCTGTTAGGATGCTCTGGCAAGTGTCAGAGAGAATCCTCCTATCCAGAGAGAGATGTCATTTTCTAGGGTCCTTGACGGCCCTTGCTAGGGCAAGGAGGAGGCTCCGGGCAGCTACAAGATGGCCAGCCTCACCTCCATATCTGGGAAGATAATGGAGCAAACAATCCCAGAAATCATGTCCAAACACGTACTGACAAGAAGATGACCAGGGTAATCCGGGTGGATTTATGAAGGCAATTTGTACTTGTACTTGACCAACCATAAGGCTTTCTGCAGTTAGATGACTGTCTTAGTAGATGAGGGTAGAGCAGTGACTGTTTTTTTATTTTGACTTTGGGCACTGCCTCCCATAACATCCTCATATGTAAGCTGATGAAGTATAGGCTAGGTAATTGGAGAGACAGGTGAATTGAAAACTGCCTGAAGTGGCAGACTCAGAGGGCTGTGATTGGCGGTCCAAAGTCCATCTAGAGGCCAGTTACAAGTGGTGTACCTCAGAAGTGAATATTGGGACCAATACTGTTTAATTTTATTAATGGCCTAGATCATGGGCCGTAGTATATGCTCTGCAGATGATACAAAACTCTGAGGAGTAGCTGACGCTGCAGGTGTTTGCACTGGCAGTCAGAGGGATCTCAACAGGCTGGAGAGATGAGCAAGGAGAAACCTCACAAAGTTCAAAAAGGGAAATGCAAAGTCCTTCCTGGAGGCAGATCTTATCTTATCGAAGTTCATAAATGCCTGAAGGCAAGGAATAAACAAGATGAACAAGACTTCTCCTCTCAAATAGTACCCAGTGACAGGACAAGAGGCAGTTAGCACAAAATGAAGTAAAATAAATTCTACACAAGAAAGCACTTCTCTGAGAGGGTGGGTGGACATGTTGCCCAGAGAGGCTGCAGGGTCTCCACCCATAGAGACATTCAAAAAATGTCTGGACATATTCCTGAGATACCTGCTGTAGCTGAATGTGCTTGCGCAGGAGGGTAGGACTCGATCATCTCTGGAGGTACTTTCCAAGCAGAGTGATGCTGTGAGCTGTAGAGTGTAGCCAGATGCCAAGCTGGTCCATATATGTTTGTAGCTGGTGGCTGCAGATGATCATCATCTGCTTTGCCAAGTGTCCTTATTACTGAGATAGTTTCTGTAACACTTGAGTTTTAAGGAGAACTGTATCTCACTTTTATACCTGGTAGGACTGAAGCTCAGAGTGACTTGGCTACAATTATTCTTTAGGCTAGTATAAGGATTTCAGCATCTGCATATGAAGTCTTTTATCCTTATATTTTTTGACTCTCAGTTTTGTCTCATAAAACCTGAGTGCACTTCAGTAGCTGCTCATTCAGTACTAATCTCCTTCTATTCTTTTCTGTCCTAAATGGCCTTGAACTAGCGATAGAATATTTTAGAACTAGAGAAAGTAGCTTTTTCCTAGAACTAAACATCTATCAAATTACAGCTTCATTGCACTGGTGCAACATTTCAAAATATATTGCAGCAATAAATAAATTCAGTCATCTATAAAGCTGCTGTCACCGAAACACAGTTATTCAACCTTTTCCTTTCCTCTTTTCCTCAGTAGGTAGCAGAGTAAGAATATTGAAGTATTAGTCATTTAAAAATGTAATAAAATGTTTTCATGCATGGGAGAAAAGGAGGGCTTTTAAGCAAATACTTAAATTATGCCTGCCATGTCATCATGGGAATGAAAGAGGGAGCATATTTGAGAGACTGCTGCAAGAAGTAGTTAATTATAATACACTTTGCACTGCCATTTTGGTGTATTGATGAAGCTAGCAGAGTCTCATTTAAAAAAACAGGCAAGACACACAGGAATAAGTACTCACTAAACCGCAAGGATAGTAAAGAAGAAGAGGTGAATGCCTAGCAGATCTAGCAGATTTTTTTTAACAGAAGAAAATAGTTTGATTCAGCAATGTGACATGTGGAGTTACTATCACAGTCAGTTGGAGACAGAGCTGAAGTTGCTCTGATAGAACTATATCAAAGTGTCTGAGTATGGTCTCCTGTCTTTGAACATTACCTGTCCGTTTCTAACCTCCAAAAACTATCTAGGTTACTTCTATGATTAATAAGTTATTCAGAGAAATGGCCTGTCTTAACACCTTTCAAAATGAATGACAACATTAATATTTTTTTTCAAAGAGAGTGGAAATAAGTCCAAATGTGCACTGTCTTGTCTAGATATTTGGCTCTACACTTATGTTCAGGTTTTCTGTGTTGTGAAATATTGTAGAATCGTAGTTAAGTTCTGTCTAAGAGTAAAATAGAAGCTAATTTACATTACTGTTCTTCTAAAACTTCTTAACATTTAAACCTGACAGTCTATCTGCAACATACAATAAAATGTAATTGTGGAGATAAGCACTGATTTGCTTGGGAGTTCTTCTTTTTTACTCACATTTGCATTACCCAAAGAGGCAGCTTTTTGGAACCTAACATGACCAGTGACTGATTTAGTTTGTCTCCTGACAGGCAGATTGATAGCCAGGGATGCACGAGGGGACCTTTTTGAGAATGAGGGAATGGGTGTATGGGGAAAAATGTCTATCAGGGGAGCAGATTTGGAAAGTATTGGGAAGTATGTGTGCTTTGACGAGCAGCTCTTTCTAACGACACACAGCTGCTGCATGTCTTTGTTGTAAGGATTCCCTTATCCAGGCTAGTGCTCACATGAGTCAGAAAGAGAGGGCTAATAGGGTAGCTTCTTAGTCCCTTGGCCAGATGTGATTCCAGTAGCTTTTTTTCCCATGGACTCTATGAGAACCTCCTTTCTCAAAGTAACAGGTCTTGAATAAAAGAGAAAAACATGAGACATGAACATTTTTCTGGAAGTTAGGGTAGCCAAAAGACACTTCTTGGCTATGTGTCTTCCTTCAAACTTTAATGATTTGTCACTAGCGCATCCCAGTACATCACTTACATTTGAGTCCTATTGTCTGAAATCAAACACAAAGAAAAATAAAGACTGTGTTTTGTTATGGTTTGGTTTTAACTCTATTCAGAGATATTTGCTTGCTTTGCATTATCCTCCTTCCTCGTTCACTGCATCCCCTCACTGCCAGTCCCTTCAATCTTCAGAAAGGTGCTTACTGTCTTACCTGCAAGAACACCTTAAAAATGAAAATATATACTTCTGGAATCTTTCTTTGGACAGCTAAATTTAAAGCATAAAGATACCACAGAGCAGTCAAGACAATGCTGGAAAGATACATTAGTTTGTTGATACATTAGTTTGTTGTGCAAGAATCCTGTGTCTTGTCAGGATCTGTTGCTTCTTGTCCTGTGAGGAATAGATTTTCCTGACAGCTCCTATGCAAGTGAAAATAGTCTCTAAGTTAAAATGTCTTTAGAGTGCATGACAAATTTAATAGCTTTTATGAGCCATTTGTACAGTGAAATACTACCAGTCAGTGAACCGTTCTCAGAGTTGTAAAGCAGCTTGTAAATTGCTTTAGCAAAGGGCAGAGGCTCAATTTTCTGGGGGAGTTTTTGGGTTGGACACTTCGGTAGTGCACAGCCTTTTGCGTTTTGATTAGCAAAATCAGGCAGATAATGTATTATAAAAAGTATTTGCAGTTTCTATTGTATTGGGTGTCCCACTCACGTGAAAATCAAATTGCAAAACTTTATCCTGACAACCTTTACTGGACCAACGACTTTTCCTTGACTAAAGCAACTCTTTCGTAAAAGTATCCAATGTGAGAACAAGGGGGCCCATCCCATGCTCTTTCCCCTCTATGCTCACTTCATATGGGTGCATGTGCATTACCTTAGTCCTAGTGATGGTGTAGGTGATTGTTGTAGGGATAAGAGTATTGTTATACTGGGTTGTAACCTAAAATGCTTTTTGTACCCTAACAGTCTTCATGAGCCACACAGAAATAAGCTGTGTACCAAGGTTAAGGGGCAGCTATCCTCAGGGATTTTTGTTATGGAGAAGGAGATTTTGCGACTCACAAGTCCCTTTGGCAATCTAGACAGGATAAAAAAGTTCTAGGGTAGTAGCACATCAAAATTTTTGTTTGTCTCTCTGTGAAATAGTGTTAACTCTTCAGATAAAGGGCAGTGAAATATTCTCAGAGATATAGGAGGAAGCAGCTAGACATTTATGTCAGCAAGCATGTTCTTAAAACAAAGGAGTTCAGCTTACAAAGATCTGTGGAATATGCTAGTGCAGAGCTCTGAAAACAGAAGGGGTTTTGTTTGTTTGTTGGTTGGTTTGGGGCTTTTTTTTAACTCAGTATGTATTAGAATGGGTCCAGGAAGTGAAATTTTAAGTTCAATTTAGTCAAATAAATTAGATGCAGAAACTGATGCATCGGTAATACAAAGTCCTTCTTGATAGCTTTGCTCACAGTTTCATAAGAGGCTACATTTCAGTTGCTGAGCTAATTTCAGAATCAAAAGCAGATTTATTTTATTTTATTTTATTTTATTTTATTTTATTTTATTTTATTTTATTTCATTTCATTTCATTTCATTTCATTTCATTTCATTTTTAATTTAAAACCCTAATTTGATGAAATGAGAATCATCTCAAGTGAAATAGATGGGGAAATCTTACATGCACACGTGCTTGCATTTAAGTGGTTATTAGAGATGGCTGAGGAGAAAGACATTTTATTAAGTGAAAACAAATATAAAACAAGCAGAACACACATGAGGCCCTGCTAAAGCTAATGAAAATAAAGCTATAAACTGAAGTATAGAGAAACAAAAAAAAGATGCCATTCCCTTGAAGATGTAGAATCGGGAAAGAAGAACGTGAAGAATGAACAGTGACATTAAGGCTACTAGTAATATATTTTATGAATATACTAAGGAATTTTGAAAGAGAATTTGGGTATTTTGGTTAGGATAGGAATTCGCTGCTGAAATTCATTTAGGTACTGAACAAACCACAACCTTTATAATTGGAATTTTTACTCTATCTAAAGTGAGTTGTACTGCAAAAGTACTATTATAATCCGTTTTTTATTTCTGAAGTAGTAAAATGAAGGTAAGCAGTTTTATTAATTTTGTTTTTAATCTGAGATATCCTAATAGTTGCAGTGATCACAGAATATCTTTTTAATCATTATTGTAAAACAGATAGTTGTTCTTTAAAGCGTTTCTATGACTCTAACTAGCAGTTGTGAATCCCATCAGATCATGAGATGTTGGGTCTGAAATCTGTGGGCTTTTTATATTGATATCAGTTTTCTTTGTCTTTTAGAGCACGACTCCCCCAAACTATTGACATGTTTAAAAATGCTGTTTATAATAGTAAAAGTCATGTTTTATTGCCTTACGTATGAGTGAAGCAATGCTGTTTAATTCAGGTGATTGCTGAGAAGAGGATATGGCAGAACCTGGAGATAGCAGAGGAATTCAGGTGGTATACCTCAAAATGTGTGATGAGTTGCTTTCAAGTTGCACATATTCTGGTATTACAGTCCATTACCTTGCATAAATATATAAATGAATATATTTTTATATATTTATAAGTATATATATGTAAAAATATATATTCAAAGTATATAAAGTATATTTATATTAGTATTATCATTGCTATTAGTATTAAGCAGTATTATTATATTTTAATAATATAATATTAGTATATTAAATTAATTTTCATATAATAAACAGTATGAAAGCTAGAGATGGTATTGACCTTCTGTTTCTAGTTCAAAACAGTGCTTTTAAAGAAATGAGCCTTGCTTTTATTACAAGTCGTTGTCAAATCTCCCCTGGGCTCAGCTAGACAGACTCAAATCCATCACAAAGCTAGACAGATTCAAATCTATCACAAAGCAGGTTTTTTGGGGAAAAAAATCTGCTGTTCAGACACAAATCCAGTAACTATCTGGGTGAGGAATATATGTTATCTGTTCTAGTTAGATCTCATAAAATCCTGCTGTCCCCTGAGAAGGTGGGATAGGACAGTGATAAATTAGGAGGGAGAAGACTTGGGTCAGTGCTATAGGTTGATCTATTGTATTTTAGAAGAGAACATCATTTTTTTCAGAGGAGGAAAGACTGCATTCTTTAAAGCACAATTTGCAGAATAATCTTTAAGGATATTCTGGTGGACAGTTTCCTATTTCCTAATCCTTCTGTGGACAGTTTTGTGAGATGGGAAGAACTAAGCCTGCATTTCAGTGAATAAACAACAAGTACTCCAAATCTACCCAAACAAATTTTTCCAAAATGGCTGGTCATATGGCACTTGAAACAGAAAAGTGATAATTTGGGGGATATCCTGGACTTCATGTACCAGATCAGTTACTTTTAATGTGTCATCATGAAAATGATCCTAGGATTTCATGCAATTTGCCTTGGGTAAACCCTAGATATGTGGGGCAAGAAGCCCTACAACATTGCCACTCTGTCGCAGGTCCTCATATGCATCTGCCACCTGAATCTCTCTTCCCTACTCCTCCCCTTTTTCAACAGCTAAGGAGTTGCAGTAGTGACTCCTTAAGTTCAAGATAACCAACAGAAGGCATCTTCGCAGAAAAGCTGCTGTTGTTCCTGCTGGGGGCCATGTAGCAATTACTGAATTTGGTACACATTGCTACATATCTGAAGGCTAAGAAAGTTCAGTGATGTTCCCTTGATTTGAAAATACTGATTCTGCAGGTGCCTTGATGGGCAAATCAACATAAAAGAAAAGAAAACATGCTCTGGGCTTGTTTTAGTCTAATGTCAACGTAGTCAGAATATATTTATTTTATGCTTTTATTGTTTTTTTTTATTATTGCTCAAAAAGTCATTCAGAACAGATGTGATTTAACACAGGTTTATTTCGCCTAGAAAATTACAAACTCTGCCATGGTTCGTTGATCATTTTAAGGTGTTAAGTGCTGAAAGCAGCATTTTACTGGTTCTGTGCAGTCTGGTGTTGGATGGAACATTAATGCCACCTTCTGAAAAAACACACAGGACTTGCTCTAGGAAGGATATATGCTATACTTGGGGATCATAGGTTTTAATAATACTAGACAATAATAATAATAATAATACCATTCCTACTGTGTAAAAAAAAAAAAATCTGATATGTTCTCTGTGTTGACAGATGGGAGTTTAATTCTCTCTTCTCCATACTTGTGTAAATCTAATCCTTTATCAGGATGACTGTCAGACTCAATATTATTCCACAGTTCTCAGATTTTAAAGAAAAATGATACTATAAGCATCAATTTCCACTAAGAAGTCAGTCTTAATTTTCACATATAGAAGATACTGACTGATTTCAGGGCGGCTCAGAAGGCTCTTCTTGTAGTTGTCTGAGATATACTTATTATTTTAAAAATAAAAATAAATAAATAAATGTTTAGCAATCTTACAGAGACAACAGGCTACAAGTACCTGCAAAAAAAAAAAAAAAACACTGAAATAATTAAGATAAAATCCCACTGAGATATACACCTGGACTCATTCTTCCTAAGTGATAACTGAAGTCAGCAGTGTAGTTGCTTTTCTGAAATAGGCACTTGTAGAGGAAAACAATGGTATCTTAAAATTGCCTCCTGGAAATGCCTCTTTTCTTCAGGTCAGTGCCTACTGTCCAAGGAAACTTGGGAATTCCTAGTCATTGCTTGTAATGTTCAACACCATATGCCAGGCAAAAGTATTTTTCGTAAACAAATATCCCCTTTGAGATTACAATCACGCCGTTTTCCCATGGGAAATAATACTCTTTAGAATGGCTGGTTACGATGTTACTGATCATAAAATCAACTGTCTGTCTTTTAAACTACATAAAACAGTGCCAAAGATTTTCTAAAATCCGTTGGAATTTGCAGGCTATTAAGCAAATTGCCACTGTTAGAAAATGGTTTGAAATTACAACTCTACTTTAAAAAATAAAATAATTTTGTAAAAAATAGAGGAAAGAAATCAGAGATATTAAAGATATAAAATACTGTAGATTTTGTGTTGTTGTTTGGAAGTTTGGCTTTGGAATTTAATGTAGCATTAATGCCCCCTGCTGATAAGCCTTAGGAGATCTGCTTTAGATTTAAGTAGAAGCATGAGTACATCAGGCTCAAGTATTTAATAACACTGTATTTTCAATACAGCATTTTCTTAAATTAAAAAAAAAAGAATGTATCTCATTATAACTGATTTCATCTTAAATAAATCTCTGTGCTTTTTAGTCTACTCAGTAGCTAAGAATTGCCTGTGCCAAGACAAAAATAAAATATCAAAACAACAAAATAACAAAAAATACTTGTTACAAACGAGCACTTGCTACTGCTCATTCAGGAGAGGATGACATAAGATAGATTTTAAAAGAGAGAATAAAACTTTACAATTTTGTAAATAAAGGAAATTTTGAAGCATACAAAAATAAAATCTAAGAGAAACTGCAAGAAGTTGAAAATATGTATTGCTACTCAGGGTTAAACTACAGGGAGCTAAATAAGTCATTTCATTGTGTTCATTATTATTATCTATTTTTGAACTAAAAAATAGATAACATTAGTATTGATTTTTATACAGAGTGTCTTGCAAATGGCAATGTGGGTATTAAGCAATGCCCTAAAAGAGCAAGGGTTTCATTTTTCTTTCTCCTTTTAAGCCACAGGGGGGAATTACTTTTCCTTTTAATATTAGTGATTAAAAGGATACTACTGTGTTTCTTCCAGTCTGCAAAAACACTCATGAGCTGAATCTTAACTCTTTGTCCATTCTGCTCTCTGACTGAGATATAAAATCTCCTGAACCAGAGCAATGAACAA